TTGTCTTCTGAAAAAAGGATTCTGATTTATCACAGTACTCTAGAATAACAGCAACCTTGAGAATCATGTACACACAAGACAACATTTGACAGACAACATCATAGGCAACATCTGAAACTTGTGGTGTTGGGAGACAGAATGGGTGCTTAGTTCAGGACAGCGTGGTTCTTTTTGTGAATTCTCTTTCCTGTGTAGTTAGATTATTTTGGGAAACATGGTTTCATGAAGGTCTGTCTGTTCAGACCCATGCAATGACTATGTTATACTTGTGTCTGGACTGACAGGGAACAGCATGTCGTGAGGGAGATGCATGCTTTCAAGGGCATGCAGAATCTTTGAGGAAACAAAGCCTTCCTTCAAACCTCTTCCTCTTGACTGACCTTAGCAGCTTAAGCAGCTGGGAGGGACCAGTGTCTCTTGGCTTCTTTCTTTCCATCCACGGATTAAGACGGGATCCTTTTCTAGTTACGCCTGTTAAGATAAAATTTGGAGTGGCAGCAAGGGGACAGATTGGAGCGATGGCAGGAAGGGGAAGCCCTGCGCTTTCCAAAGACTGTTAATGATATCTGAGAGTTGTTCCCAGTATTCAAGAAATTCTAAAGCTAATTCTCAGTAAGGTCAGTGTGTTTGGCCAGAAAACCACGCTAGAACATGAGGGTGCGTGGGGGAGATAACAAAAGGCCTTTGGGAAAGAGCGCAGAGCTCTAACCAGCCGACCTCCGGTGACACGCTCTTCCCTGTTAAGCTGATTTAATTAGAGCCACAAGGCCACGAGGCAGTCGGGGACTGATGACAGACTCTGTGGAGTTTCTTTAGATAAAAGTGTTCTTTTTGGTTCAAAGCATTCTTTTTCAGTGCTGATCTTTATAAGGCTAGTTGAAGTAATTAATGAGGATGTTTAAACCCATCAGACACATTCATCTTTGCTTTCCAAACTGCTTAGGCTGGCTTACCCCAATGTTTCTGCCCCTGGGAGAAGGTTGGGAAGAATGGGACTTAACAATCCATGTCACAGGCCTCCCTGTGTCCCTTCCCACTCCTGCCATGCTGTACCCAGAGCTATTTAATATCTTGTTCTTCCTGTCTTCATGGAAGGCTGACCTGATGAGCTCTGTGCTGTAGGCGGCTACCAGACCGATGATGTCAGATATGGGTCTGTTGGGGTAGTAATGGCAGAAATGTCAGGGCAGAGAAGTTTGTCATATGGCTAGAACAACAGATCGGGATCAGGAAATGTGGGGTAGGCTTGTGGGCATGATTGACTAGTTGGTGGGCAGTGGCCTTGAGCAGCAGGGGGATTATGTGAGAATTGGGCAGGCCAAGAGCAGGGCTGTTCATTGACATGGAAACTAATTCCTATAATGAGGGTTCAGTACATGTTGGAAAAGTAGAGGACTGCTGGGCAGCTGATATGGAGGATGGAGGGAGGCAACGGCCAGTAGAAACAGAGTCAGGGATGGAAGACTGCTTCATTAGGCGGTGACCACAATTTAATCCATCAGCTAGCATCCTGAATAGCAAGTATAGGAGCTTGAAGTCCCAAGCACACATTAGCACAGTTTAGTTGTGGCCAGCCTCCACCTACTGAAGCAGTCTTGACAGTTTGTCTACATCCTATATGTTGTAGGGTGGATATCATAAGGCAAACATAGTATCTTTTTGAGTCCTCAAGCTAATTGTTTACAGTCCCCATGATCAAGTGACACTTTACTCATAGAAAGACTTGTGACATTTTTTGGCCAAAATCTGACATCAAGAACAGAACTGTCTGGAAGCTGCAGTAGCTTGAATGGTGCAGGATAGAAGAGCTGGCAGTACTGTTCCAGTGAAGGATGGCTGACATGCGAAGGACATGCATGGACCGGGGTGTTTCTCAAAGGATGGGCCTCCAAGTGGCTTACATTAGAATCATCTGCCTGTGTGTCCCCAAAGGTACATTTTGAAGTCCAATCCCAAACAAAGGCTCAGGAACGTGAATTAAAAAAATTATCATCTTCAGATGAATCTGGCTTACATTACAATGAGAAAATCTCTACTCTAGAAAATGACTGCATTTTCAATAAAGCAGGTTTCTTTTTAAAATATTGCCATTCGTGGGGCTAGAGAGTTGGTGCAGCAGTTAAGAGTGTGAACTTTGGCCCCAGCGGACCTGATACCTCTTCTAGACTCACTGGTACTTCCACATATATGTGGGAATACCTCCATCTGTAGATATAATTAAAATGATAAAAATCCTAAGTATTACTGCCCGTTGACTTGCTCTTAACTGCCCCCCCTCTTTTGTTCAAGATGCTTCAATACAGAGGTTCTCAACCTGTGGGTCACGGCCCTCTTATGGGGGGGGTCTTGTATCAGAGACCCTGCATATTAGATATTTACATTACAATTCATAACAGGAGCAAAACTGCAGTTATAAAGTAGCAATGAAATAATTTTATGGTCGGGGTCACCACACATGAGGAACTGTTTTAAAGAGTCGTAGCATCAGGAAGGGTGAGAACCACTGCATCAAATGTCTTTCATGGGCCTCTGTTAGGAATCTCCAAGCCCTCACTGTGTCTCCATGTGACTTACAGAGCTGTCCTTGTTTGCAGATCATGCCTTTAAATTATAAACACACACGATTATTAATGTTTGTAGATGAAACCCGAGGGACACTCCTTAGCCAGAACTTCAGGCCTGTCCATCTGACCCTTGCCCCTGGATTCCTTCAAACTTCTGATTAAAACCAGAACATCAGCTGAGCCTGATGACAGGCTAGTGTCTTTCTTCTTGTTGCTGCCTTAAAAAGAAAAAAAATCAGTTTCTGTTAATTATTCACAGCAATGACTTTGTATTTTAAGTTTCTGGGAATATCTGTCCTCGTGTGGAAAGTTTTGTCTCCAGTAAGAGCAAATTGCAGACCTTTTGATAATTGGTTACTTTGGTTTCTGTTTGTGTGACATCACCATAGCAACTGTCCAGCATCTCTAGTATACCCAACAGCAATGTTTATTGTGTTTGATTTACACAGCAGGATTTATGTAACCTTGGCAATGATCTTAGTTTAGGGATTTTTCCCCCATATTTTCCTCAGTATTTTATTTTTTTGAAAATTGCAAAATATTTCTTTTTATATATTGGAGCTATGCCAGGGGCCAGCTTTATTCTGGTGGAACAGAAGTTACACACCTGTTCTTTCTTGCACATAAAATAAATATAGCTATCCTCTCAGTTTGACAGTTTACCTTGTGGGCTGGGATATAGCTTACTGGTAGAGTGCTTTTTTTAATCTCTGCAATTCTTTATTAAAAAAATACTGCTATACACATAGAGACTGAAAACAGGGTTAAAGACGAGCAACAGATACTGGGATTGTGATGTTAGAACTTAACATACTGGTGCTTTTTAGGGACAATGTTGATATCCAAATGACAGAACCAAGGTCAAAGCAAAGTTCAAGGGCACCCTCAAAGGCATCTGCAGAGAAGTGAATACTAACAGGTTTGGAAGAGGCACAGACAGCTGAAATGAGAGACACTACATGATTTCCAGGATGTCCTGTCCGTGCTCTGTCTGTGCTAACAGGAAGTTACAGAGAGTTCACATCCTTAACTCGACACTCTCAGATAGTAAAGTCTTCCTATGGACTAAATATTAACTTTCAGACAACCTCCTAAATGGTTTTACATTGTGGAAAAGAGGGCTCCCTTTAAAAAAAAAAAAGGAAAAAAAGAACAACAACAACAAAAGAAAAAACCCCAAAAACCTTCCTCCCAAAAAACACCGAAGCAGAACTCAGAGTTCTTTTGAACCATTCCCAATAAAAATGAAATGAAAAATAAATATAAAACAAAGCTAAAAAAATATGCATTACCTGACACCAACTGTTTTCTGGCTGACAATATTTACTCATGAAAACGTTCAGCTAAATGTTTTCATGGGTAGAATGCTTTTTGAGCAGGTGTGGAGTCCAAGGGCCACTCCCAAGCATGGCCCTGAAAAAAGAGTGTAAAGACTAAAGCTTGCTTTATGGAAGGGAAGATGTCTGCCATCACAGTTCTACCATCACTAAGAGGTCATGTTAAACACCCCCACAGACAGCTGCCAGGACAGCCTCCCAAATAGTTCCATGATCATGTGTCCATGTGGCTTTGAGTCTGGCAAACATATTACCAGTGCCCGAGGAAGTAAAGCAAGGGACTCCTAAAAACAGGCATCTTTGTGCATGTCTCCACGAGGTCCATTTCAGAAAAGAGGCAGGTTGTGCTGAACCTTTCCGAGGCATCTGACGGGTGTGTGTGTGTGTGTGTGTGTGTGTGTGTGTGTGTGTGTGTGTGTGTTACATAATTACAACAGGCTGTCTACTGACTGCCTCAATAATTTACCTGAACCTCTGATCTCCCTTAAAGCAGGTCTCAACATATTTCATGTTTAGTTTCCATAACTCATTTTTTTTTTTTTTGCATGAGATCTACGTAGGTATTAACTGGGGTCATAGTCTCCTTCTTGTGTCTTGCTCTGAGAGACTTCAGAGTAGAGGAAGTCATGGGTCTGTTAGATTGTGCCGCCATCTGAATTAAATGCCCTAAGCATGACACAGCATTTCAAGGACTGACTGAATTCCAAGCTCCTAAAATAGAGATCTTAAGACATGTTTTGATCCTGTTGAATGCTGGTCTTCCACTGAAGGCTTAGAAGGGACCTGAAGCTCAGAGCCCTCTTCTCCCTCGGACTGGCTGGCCTCTGTTGGATGCCTCAATTGTGCTGCATATGGAAGCTGTTTTCAGAGGTCACTGAAAAAGGTGGCTCAGTCTGATGAACTTGGACATAAAGGTTTTGTGGAACATGGCAGTGAGCCAAAAGATTCTGCACCTGGCTCTTCTGCACCGTGCAAGTGGCTTTGCATGTTAACTGACCTCAGACACCTCCCTAGGCATCACTGTTTCCCTTTGCCTGTTGATTTTTAAATTTTAATTTAATCTTATAAGGTGTGTCTTTGTCACTGTTCTACCGCTGTGAAGAGACACCAGAACCAAGGCAACACTTATAAACACAAGCATTTAGTCTCTTGTTGCAGCAACCTCAGTGGGAGCACCTGGAGTGTGAGCTTGGAGCAAGATTTCACAGGTTGTAAGAAAATGGCAGACAAACTGGACATGGGGGATACCAGCAGCTTCGATAAGGCGAAGCTGAAGAAAACCAAGAAGCAGGAGAAACACCCTGCCCGAGCAAAGAGACCATTGAGTAGGAAAAGAGGAGTGAAATTTCCTAAAAGCCTCGACTGGAGGATTTCACCACCCAACTCCACTCTGTCATCTCCAAGACCTCCTTTTGATGTAGAGGAAGAGTCACCTGCAAGATGGACACAAGCCACCCCAATGTGTATGGGTGTTTTGTTTGTATGTGTATCACATGCATGCTTGGTGTCTGGGCATGAGAGAAGGTGTTGGATCCCCTGGAACTAGAATGACAGATTGCCACCATGTGGCTGCTGGTGACCAGACCCAGGTCCTCTGCAAAAGCAACATGTACTTTTAACAACTGAGCTCTCTCTCTAGCCTCATTATTCATTGTGATAGTTTGAATAGCCCTATGGGCTTAAAAAGTTTGATGTTTGTTCTCTAGTTAGTAGAAATGTTTGGGAAGGGTTAGGAGATATGATTTTGTTGGAGGCAATGTGGCCTTATTGGAGTGGTGTATCGCTGGGGGTGGGCCTTGAGGTTTCAAAAGCCCATGTCGGATCTAGTGTGAGTGTCTCTCTCTCTCTGCCAGTTACCTGTGGATCAGGATGTAAAGCTCCCAGTTACTGCTCCACGGCCATGCCTGTCTGCTTCCTTGCTTCCTGCCAGATGATCATAGACCAACCCTCTAAAACTGTAAGCAAGTCTCCAATTAAATGTTTATAGTTTTTTTTTTTTTTGGTAAGAATTTCCTTGGTCATGGTGTCTCCCCATAGCAATAGGACAGTAACTAAGACACCAAAGTTCTTGACCTAGTAAGAAGTCCTCACTTGTAGCGTTTCATGTTCTTCTTCAATTGGTAGATGAGGAACTATCATAGCCTTTAGAGTGGCAGAACATGCTTGAGCTCATGTAGCTAGGCAGAGGGTAGGAACTTATAGATACCCTTAGAACATCTATTGATGAGTAAAGAAACACACCTTCAGGTCACTTTCCATGGTATCACCAAAGACAACCTGGTCTCGTGAGCTTATAATGGGAGACGCCTCTGCAGATACATTAAAGTAATAGATCTCCATTGAAAAACAGAGATGTGTTGGCCAATCTCCCCAGACTAAGGGGTTGGCAAAAATATTTTAGCACTTCCATAGAGCTTTTCCTGTGTGAGGTGGTACAATGCTTTCTGTGGATGAGCTGATGCAGTCACCTGGCAGATCTGTTATGCAACAATCCCATTCTTATTTTATAGCAGAGAGCAAAACAGAAAGGAAGCTCTCAACCAGAGAGAGAAGCAGCATTGCCTGGCAGAGAAATACTCCAAGTCGTGGGATTCAAGCTTCACTTTCCCATTGACTCTGCTCAGTAATTTGTGTATTTCAAGAAAAAAAAGTTCAAATGTATTCTCTTAACAGCTTTTTGATGCCAGGTGTCATAAGATGTTCCCTTTAGCTCCTAATAATGGTGACTTTTCATCTCTCTCTTTGGATTTACCTGAAAGATTTGCCATTTTGACCAATCTTTTCCAAAATGGAGCTTTTGTCTTGTTTTATTTCTGTCTTTCCTACTGCATTGACTTTTGTTCTTACTCTGTTCTTTGCAGCATTTCCTTTGGATTCTGTTTGCTTTTGTTTTCTGTGTCATTAGCTTAGATCTTATTTCTAAGGACACACCTAAAGCCACGGACTCGATTTAACCACCAGTTTACCCGGATATCATTAATTTTTGATATTTTTTCATTTGAATCCATTTCAGATTATTTCTAATTCCTTCTCAAGTTATTTTTAGACTGATGAGCATTATTTTAGATGTTCTTAATGGAACATTTATTTTGGTATTCTGCTTTATCTCCTATTGAGTTATTAATTATCTCTCTGGCAATTTTTAGTTCTTGCCATAGGTTTAAAATGTTCACAGTTTTCACAGTTTGCCTGAGAAAAAAATTAAAATAATATTCTATCATTTCATGTATTAGTATTTGTGAGAATACAGTTTCATTTCCCCTCTTTTTTTAAATAAAATTTTAAGTATCTCATAAACTCTCTTAGGTAGTAATTTTTGCTTTACATAGCCAATTGTCTTCTAGAGAAATTTTAAAAGAGATAATGTGGTTAACATATAAGTGCCATGGTAATCATAGAAATGTCCATTAATAAAATTTTGTGTTTCCTAGAGAATTCCTTCAATACGACTTGTAACTTCATGTGTGCTGGTGAAAGACTGTCCTTGCTCTCATTTATCTGGGCAATGCCTTTGTCTTCATGCTCACGTACATTTTTGTTTATGGACGTAAGCATCTGACTGCCCCTTCTTCTGCTAGTGCCTTCACGAGGTTTCGTTGTCTCTTTGTGCTTGAAAAGTTTTTGAGATCTCTGGCCAGTGTGAAAACCGCACACTCCGGTTTTCTCTTCATATAGCACACACCCTTTGTTTTCTCTCAGCATGTTTCATTCTGTTTTTGTGATTTTCTATTATTTTTTTGGGGGTGGGTTGATTTTAAAAAGTGTGTGTGTGTGTGTGGGGGGGGGGGGCTGAAGGTGGCACAGTGAGCACTGCGGTTGAGAGCGTTCCCACTCTTGTTTTTTTTTTTTTGTTTTTTTGAGACAGGGTTTCTCTGTGTAGCTTTGCGCCTTTTCCTCGAACTCACTTGGTAGCCCAGGTTGGCCTCGAACTCACAGAGATCCGCCTGGCTCTGCCTCCCGAGTGCTGGGATTAAAGGCGTGCGCCACCACCGCCCGGCATGCGTTGCCACTCTTTTGTGATGAGGACTGAGCTCTAAAGTGAACCGAAAGTACTTTCTCCCTTCTTGTCAGTGATTGGTTCAGAAGTGGACACGTGACTCTGAGATGTTTATTGTGGCTTCTGGGAAACTTTGCTTCTTCATAGGGCCTCAAGAGAACTGCATCTCTCTTCCCTTCATACACAAATCAGAAACCTATGGCCGTGCCTTGCTGCTGACCCAGAGCCATGAGGGACCCAGGTTAGGAGCATGCTGCACACAGCAGCAGAGAAAGAGAAAGCCCATGAGTCTCAGGGGTGGGAGTGAAATACCCGATCATTCAGTCCTGAACCTCGTTCTACGAGGGACCTCTGCTTTAGTTAATTAGGCCTTAGCAATTACATAAACTGATTTGATTTGTCCCTGCACCCCATTTTGACCAAAAAAAAAAAAAATCCTCATTTAATTGGAGACTAGAATTTGACAAAGAATTTCCAGATTTTTACTTTCAATTTAATGTTGGCTAGTAATGGACCTAAGCCTAAGAAGTAGCTAGAAGATGTCTGCTGAGTCAGTTAAGGAGTTTCTCTTGGAACAAATGAAAAGGAACTATTTTTTCTTTGGGTGTACTGGAGTTAAATACAGAGCTTTATGTGGGTTAGGCATGTGCTCAACCATTAAGCCACATCTCCAGCGCAAGAGATCGTATTGTGACATAGATATAAAGGCAAGAAGATGTTGGACTCAATATGGACTTGAGGGAGATGGCTTTCAGTCAAACGGATGCTGCGATAAGTTGTGAGAATAAGTGGACATTGGAGGTGGATTGGAGGACATTTGGAGGCTGGTGAACACGTAGAAACTGCTGTCTGGAATGAGAAAGGAGCTAGGGAAAGACTAGGTGTCTTAGTTTCTTCTCCTGTTGCTCTGATAAAATACTCTGGCCAAAACAACTTATGGGGAACAAGTTTCTTTCAGTTCAAGGCTACTGTCCATCATGTTTTGGAGAAGCCAGGACAGCAGGAGCCTGAGGCAGCTAGTAGGGAAAGAAACAGAGGGCAAGGGATGAATGCATGCTCTCAGTTCCTGCTCTCCTTTTCACTAGGTCCAGAAGCCAGGCCAAGATGGTCTGGCCCCTGCCCCTGCCCATTAAGGTGAGTCTTCCCACATCAATCAGTGTAATCTGGATGATCTCCCACAGGCATGCCCAGAGGCAATTCTAGATTCTGTCATAATGACAATTAATACTGTCATACCAGTGCTGAGTGCACAGAGCAGCAGTTGACACTTGAGACCATAAGTATAGCTGAGCTGATTAGTTTCTTTGTGAAGTTCTCTCCATTAGGGTTGGGCAGGCAAATAGCAGCAGAGTGGAAGGCAATGGGATTATTTTCAGATATGGGAACAGAGGAGATGTCACAGAAACACCACATCAGAGAGAATGGATAGGTCTAAGAATAGCGGTGGTCATTATTTTAATAAGGATGACTAGTATTTGACATTTCAACCTCCAACTTAAAAGAAAAAAAAATCTCTGCTTGGCATGCTGTGTTTGTGAGGCTGGTCATTAATCCTTGATTGCAGGTGGGGAAGTAGAGTGTTGCAGGATATATGATCACACTGTGAACCCCGAGTTAGCCTTTGCATTAATTACATAAAACTAAGCTTTGGTCAGGAGGCTGAGCCAGCAACTAGTTGACAGAAAGTAATCAGAGTCAGAGGGAGTCTGGGAAATGGATAGATGCACAGGAAGTAGTAGGGAGGGACTTTGAGTCATCTCTTTGCTCCTCAACCTCTCTGAGCTAGCAGGTTTTCACCCCAGCCTCTGAATGATAGAAATTTAGTTAAAAACTACATTTGGTGGGAGCGGCAGGAGGCAGATCCAGCGAATGTCACAAAGTCCTGCTGGGCGGCTTCCTGAGAAGCAGGCCAGCCATTACTGGCTGAAACAGCAGGAGACTCAGGTGCAGCCATGGTGCCGGTAGAAAAAAAAAAGCAGTAGAGGTTCAGGAAACCCACACACACTCATTCTGCCCGCCATTCAGTTACTGATTTTTCTCATGCTTTAAAACTTAGTAAGTTTATTTGTATGTCAGAGTCTACCCAAGGCACTGAGGATAGAGAGCAGTGAGCGGAGGGTTCCATTGGAGTGAGATCAGATCCCCACCAAGGAGAGTGGATTCCATCTAGAGACATCTGATCCTTCTGACGTATTTTGTGAAGAGTGTCATGAACCTGTCGCTGGCAGTGTGGAAGATGAGCTTTGTGGAGGAATATTCATCCTGTGGCAGTGGTCTACTTGAGACAGGGAAGCCATGGAGGAGATCTGGGTAGTCTTATAGGAAGTGATGGATGTGGTGTAAAAGGGGAGGGTATTGAGAGCCGTGTAAAGAGCATTGAGTGAAATTGGCGAAGAGGAGAAGGCAGT